AAGAGGTAATACTAGGGGGTAGAAGAGTGGTTTCCTTGGCAGGACTTAAAATTACACTGTCAATGCAAAAGAATATTTGAGAAGATCGAGATTATGAATTATGAAAAGCAGCATATCACTGTGATCTTCTGTCTAACCGCTAACTTCTGAAGTTGTCACCATATTTAATTTTAAAATGTAAAATGATGTCTAAGAATAAGAACTTCTTCCAAGGTGTTACTGGGAGTGAACCACACTTGTAGCTTGATGATGATTGAACTGATGGAAGACTGATTAGATGTCTTCTGGAATAGACATCTGGGAATCCATCATGTATATCTAGTTCCCAAAGATTTCACAGGCCATCTGTCTGAAGAGTTAAAAAATAATCTCACCTGTTAGTGATGTGGTTGTTAAGAATGACAGTATGACTAGGCCATTATAATTTCTCAATGTTTCAGTCAACAAACAATTTACGAACCATTTGCAGAAGGAATGTGAGTCCTGGTTCTTGTCTGAACATCTACTGAGAAATTTTGGTAAGATCAACAAAGTGCCAGCTTCAAAAACTTACAAATGAAGACAATAGTTGAGCACACTCTACAGAAATGATGCATCACTTGACATTCTTGATGGCCCTGATAACGTTATTTCACAGAAAGACATGAATGCCAATGAATCTGAGTTTAAAAGAAATTCAGAAAAGTTGAACTCTAAATAAGCGAAGAAGTTTTAGCAGGTCATTAGCCAATTTAGTTCACCTACATTTTTCCTATGAAATATGCACAATACTGATATATGACTAAATATATTTATAATGAAATAAAGCAAAAGGTCTTTCAATAAGGATAAAATAAAAATTCTAAGTGATAAAAAGCATTATGTTATAGTTTTCACTTTGGTTTCAAGACAAAAAGCATTGCTAGAGATAAAGATGGGGTACATAGTAATGAAAGACTTCATTCACATATAGCAAATCTAAATGTGTGTAAGACCACAAGAAGAAAAATTCACAACATAGACATTTTTTTTTTTCTTGGAGAATCTTTGAATTTTCATTCTTCAGGGCATCACAGGCACAATTTAGATCTTAACATACCTTTTTCAATAACTGCGAAAATTGATCAGGCAAAAAAATCCCAGCAAGGATGCAGATATCTGAACAAAAAAATTAGCAAAAGTGTCTTAATAAACCTGTGTAAAGCATTTGCACTCAATAACTGCAGAATATACATTCTTTACAAGTTCACTTGAAACATTCACAAAATATTCCTTATGCTGAGCCACAAAACAAGTCTCCATAAATTTAAAGTGAATGAAGTCATTCAGAGCATGTAATCTGATGAAAATTAAATTAGGCTAGAAGTCAGTTTTTAAGAAAAGTAGGAAATTCCTATGTTTGGAAATTAATTAATACATTTCTAAATAAGCGTAGGACAAAGGTGAAATTCTGATAAAATTAGTTGACTGAAAAGGAGGATGATTCTATCAATATTCACACAAGATATGATTTGTAAATGCAGAAAATGCAAAATAATCTACAAAATTTTAGAGTTGATAAAAGATATTTAAAAACAGAATCAATGAATTTAACAAGGTTACTGGATTCAAAATCAATATACAAAAATCAGTTATATTTCTATATAACAGCAAAAAAAATTAAGAAAGAAAGATTCTTATTCTGGTATCAAAATATCTCAAAGCATGTGCTAATTTTAAAAAATATCAATTACATAGAGATAAACCTAACAAAAGATGTATAAGATCCTCTGTGGAAAATTATAATATTTAATAGAGTCATTACAGAAGACTTAAATAAATGGATTAGAACACAATTATAAAGATGTCAAGTCTTTCCAAAGGTATCTAAAGATTTAGTGCCATTTAAATTCTCGACCATTGTGTGTGTGTGTGCATGAATGTGTGTATATATGTAATAGGACAAACTGATTCTAAAATTTATATTCAAATGCAAAGCAAACCTATTCTACTTGACAGCATCATATTATCAAGCTCTAGTAACAGAGATCATCCTGTTGATGAAGCAGATAGAACCATAAATGGAATTGTGTCCAAAAGCAAGCCCATTCACATAAAGACACCTGATTGATGACAGAACTGGCTTCACAGAGTAGTAGTGAAAGAATAGGATGTTCAGCAAATGTTGTTGGAACTGGTATCCAAATGGAAAAAAGTGAAAGGAACACTTCATTATTAACAAGCTCTAATTATAGAAACGGCAAAACCACAAAGGCTAAAAAGATAACGTTGGAAAAAATCTTCGTGACTGCAGCCTAAAGATTTCTTAAACAAGTCACAAAAAGCACTAACCATAAAGGAAGAGGTTAATTAATGGCTTTATTATAGTTTAGAACTTCTGTTTGTTGACATCAGAAGGTAGGAAAAAGATAAGCTAGAGAAAAGGTGTTTGTAATACATTTGCATAAGAGATTGACACACCACAGAAAATGGGCAGTTGCTCTTTCTCTGACATTCTCTCTTCCTTCCTTCCGCCAACACACACGTAGGGGTTTATTTTGTTGTTGTTTTGAGGTACATGTGCTTGGTAACTACTGAAAGGTGAACCTGAGTATGTCTTTGATACTCAGGAAAACAAAATCGCTCATTTGATATTGAAGCTATAATAATCAATTTCCTGTAAGATGTTTTTGTCTCAGACATTTAAGTGAGGGACTAAGTTAGAAAAATGCAAAAAGAAAGTGAAAAGATATCCTGGATGAAAACAGTGATGATTCCTGGCTCTTAACAAAGGAGAAAAAATGAGTAATTTAACCTTACAAGATGGGGGGAGACTGAATCTAAAAGGAGTTCAAGGAAAGAAGTTCAAGGAAAAAAGGAAAACGAAAAAGTACAAGCAGAACTGAGAAATGTTGAAAGATATTATCTGAATGATCAACATGGAACTACTCCTGTAACAGTGAGAAAAGCAAAGACAAATAATGGTAATTCTGGCGCTCTTAGAGACACTCCTAATCTTGAATGGGAGAGTTTTCAAGTTTATGTTAATAAGAGAGCTTCCAAATTAGCCCCAGAAGAAGTTCTTTATTTTTAAAAAATATGTTTTATTTTTTATTAGAGGGATTCATACCTCAAAGGCATGCTAATGTTTAGGATGTTAAAAGTATATCCAGTTGTTTTTTTTCTACATGTGACAATTTTCACATATCTTTCAAAAATCTTGTTGAGGTTGATTGGAGGAGGGGTAGTTTTTTTTTTTCCTTTCGCCATAACAAATTTCAATTTAGCTTCTTTTTATATTTTTTCATTTTTTTTTTACTTTAAAGGTGTGACGTACAATTCAGGATTGGGTATACAAGTGGTCATCAAACAGGTAAAGTTTGGGCCTCCCTTGGTCCTCACTTTGCCTGATTTCAGATAGGATACCCTTACTGATGTTGCGTCCCCCCACCACCATCACCCTGGCAGTGTCCCACTACTGCCAATCCCTTTCTTATAGTATTATGATAAATGTTCAGGGTACGCTTATGAGTGAGAACATGTGGTACTCTGTTCTTTGTTTCTGTGATAGATCACTGAGTATGGTAGACACTAAATCCATTCAAGTTGCTGAAAGCTCTTTGTCTTTAATAATGGAATAATTTTTTTAAAATTGAAGGTAAAATAAGAAAATACAGCTTTTTTCTTGGGGAATTGACTGTATCTTATATGAAGAAAATCAAAAGATGGGAAAATTAACAGCAAGAACAAGTTCTAACTAGAGAGAATCTGAAATTGTCAAAATGGAGAAATCTGAAATTTGGTATTCCTGCCTGTCAAATAGGACCATTTTCATTTCTTCACCTTCTGAGTTTCAGTCCATTTATTTTTGTTTTTTCAATTGGAGATTTCTGATTTAAAGGGAGAAAATTAATTTTGAAAACTGTAGATTATGTAAAAGCAGGAATCCAGATAGTGGCATTTACCCTAGTTTTAGAGTATTAGAATCGTTAATTAATGTACACCATCTAATAAAATTGTGGCAACAGTCAAAGCCCTAAAAATGTTCACAACCAGTAATCTCATTTTTTTTCTTCCCTAGAAAGACCATTTGGTGTGCCATTCTGTATCATCTACTTTTGGTTACTTGTTCATTTTCTACTTTGTGGATTATTATTTTATTTCTTCTGCTATTAACCTTTGGTCTGTTTCATGGATATGGGCACCACCTTCAGAGAGAAGGGCACAGGGAAATTGAATAAGTGCATTTGTCTGCTGTGCTTCCGATTAAACCTGCCTTGGAAGTTTGACGAAAATAATGGTGTCGCTCAAATGAGACCTGTACATTAAGGTTAGAAAACTCAGAAAAAAGGCCTTGCAAGTAAGGTCAATGAGTGCTTAGAAAGTTATTGGAGGGTACTCAGACAGCTGTGGGTGGTACATGCCCTCCTCCCAAGGATTCCAATATTTTAATTTATGTAACATGCCTGATGACTGAATTAGGCCCACAGGCTGCCAGTTTACAATATCTGTCTATTAACCTTGGTAATAAAAATGTGCATGCTTAAATGTCATAAAAATATGTTGCTGAAATGTGTATAGCTTCAGTCTAGTATACTACTACAATTAGGAGCTAGTTGACAGAAACAGCACCAAATAGGACTCAGAACAGATGCTTTAAGCACACCATGACACTCAGAGATATGAGGGAACGATTGGAACCACCTAGTTCCTGATAATTTTCAGGAAAGTAACTCTTTTATATAAAACCAGTCCTAAGCCTGAAGTAAGTTGATCCTCCTGAATGTGTGTTGAAGGTCTTTCTTAAAGACTTGCTCAAGAGCCATTTGTAGTTTTTACAATCTATTTTTAAGGACAAAGAGATATATGCTATCTTTAAGGGTCTATATTCACAGTATGAGTTTCGGTAGCTTTATAATGGATAAGAAATAATGTCATGTATTTATTAAGGGGTTAGAGTTGATTTTCAAGCAGTGGTGTTTTCTTATGATGCAGCATATACTTAAGTTTTTAATGTTAATTATTTCTGCTTTTTTTTTCAGGGAAAGTTTCATGGCAATCCAATGCATGTAGCTGTAGTTATCTCAAATTGTTTAAGAGAAGAGAGGAGAATATTGGCCGCAGCCAACATGCCTGTCCAGGTAATATTTTCCGAACTTGTAATCTCCACCATGAACTCACTTTTTCTGAAACAGCAATTCTAATCTTCCACCTACGTTAGTGGTGCCACCATCCTTCCAATCAAAGTCTTGGGATCATCTTCCAGTAGTTCCTTTTTTCTGCCTCCACCTTGAGATAATTAAGAAGTCTTTCTAGGGTTTATGTGTAGAATCTTGTATCTATACATTCTCTTCTGTTTGCACTGGTCACACATTGCTCCAGGGCCTTGAGATATCAATCAGTCTAGGGAATCCAGTAACCCTCTCCAGGCCCAAGTCCTACCTACCATTCAGACTTTCCTTTCCCCAGGATGTGTACTCTGCCCCCTTCAGTAGCTTCCTGTTTCCGGTGTCACAAGTCCAACCTAGTGCATAAGCAGGAATCTTCTCTTACAGAAACTCCACAAATACTTGTTTGTTGATTGTTTGAATGTACTTTGCCCTGACATATTTTAGATTATATTTTCTCCTACTGCCCTGCATGAATTCAGAGACCCTAACAAAGACAAGTAGAGGAATTACTGAAGTTTTGTTTTGTTTAGATTGGAAAATAGTTTACTTGGAAAGTAAATTTGAGAGAGAGAGAGAGAGAGAGAGAGAGATTGGAAATTCATCTCCCCAAGCTAGAGGGAAAAGGCCAAAGCTCAGAAAAACATGGCGGTCATAGCTCAAAGAGCCACATGGTCAGGCCAGAGCTTGGCAAAACAATGGCCTGAAGCTTATAAGGAATATTTTTTCAATTCATCCTTACAAAAAGGAAAGCAGATGTAAATAATTGATTTTCCAGATGACATCCTCCATAATTTAGTAAATCATTTCACTGTATTTTTGAAGGTCTAGCAAAAGTATCTTTTTTCAACTATTAAAAATTCTCAGGCTTAGTTAATTGTCAGGTTTATAGATTTTTCTGGGAGAATTTGAAATATTAACAAATTAATCTTATATTTTAGATGAAAAAGAATGGTATCATTTTTATTTTATTTAAAAAATATAGTAAGTCTCCAAAGTACATGTAGTTTGATTCAGTGTTTTTGGGGTAAAAATTTGGGTACTATTATGAATATATGATAATCTCATGTGTATTCTTAGCTCATTTATCTCATTTATCTCTAGTCATTCATCTACATGCACATGTGTGTCTTGTTCCCTTCAAATGTTAGATATCAGTTAAATCAAAACATTTTTCTGAGTATATGCTCATCACAGTCACTCTGAAAATAATTTGCCAGTATCACTTACTACCACAAAAGAAGCACTGGTTTTAAAATTTCATCTAGGTAGCCAATAACAGAGGCTGAAACGAGAGAGAGTGAATCTTATAAAGCCTTTGCCAATTAGAAGAGCGTAATGTGGATAATCAAGTGGACATGGGTCCATGTGAGGTTCCTCCACTGACTTGCTGTAGATTTCAGTCAAGTTATCAACTTTACCAACCAACTCCCACCCAACTCAAAGTGAAGGGGCCACTCACATCCCAACTCTCAACTTGAGATATCCATAGATCTTTACATCTGAGGAACACACTCCATGTCACATTATTTGAGTGGTTGACATGTGATACTTAGAGAAGCTGCTTTTCTGCTTAAGCAGGCTAAGATGTTTACATTTTTTTCATAAACTCCCTTTGTTCTTGAATAAGAGTTAATTTCATCCTAGCAGAGTCAACATTCCCAATTCTAAACGTAGGACCAACTTATTTTCACTATATTAGCTTTTAAATTACAAATATTGGTTTTACAGAATTTCAAAAATAATATAGATCTGCCATAGGAAATTAAGGACAAAATTTTTGAAATCATAAAATTATGTCTGATTTCACTATTCACAGAGATAACATACTGATAACATTTTGGTGTGTGTGTCCTTTCGATCATATGTACTTGAGTTTACATATCTGTACATAGATACATATATTTGCAAATATACATACATACACCTATACATGTATAAGAAATAGAGATCATATGAGGGCAAAACGAAAAATCCTGGAATATATTTATAAAAAATTGTGTTTTTATTTGTACATGTTTAAACTTCAGTCATCTTCAAAGTACCCTCTGTTTGATGCAGTACACCTGTCAAGACACTTTTTCCTGTACTCAAAGCAGTTTTTGAACTCGTCTGTTTTGTTTTTTTTTTGTTTGTTTGTTTTGTTTTTGTTTTTTTTGAGTTGGAGTCTCACTCTGTCGCCCTGACTGGAGTGCAGTGACCGCCCCCGGCCACCGCAGCCTCGACCTGCTGGGCTCCGGCGATCCTTCCGCCTCAGCCTTCCAAGTAGCCGGAATTACAGGCATGCGCTACCACGCCCGGCTGATTTTTTGATTTTTTGTAGAGATGATGTCTTGCTGCCCAAGCGGGTCTCGAACCTGCGGACTCAGGCAATCCACTCACCTCAGCCTCCCAAAGGCGCGGGATTACAGGCTGAGCCACCGAGCCCGGCTAAATTTGTCTGTTTTGATGCCTTTTAGTGCTTCTGCTGTTTTTTGTTGCACCTCTTCCACATTGGCAAAATGATCCCCTTTTAGGACTTTTTTAATCTGGGGAAGCAAAAATCAGTCAGTCGTTTGGGATGAAATCAGGTGAATAGGGAGGGTGGAGCATGGGAGTCATGCTGTTTTGGTCAAAAACTGCTGAACACTCAGTGCAGTGTGGGGAGGTGCACTCATAAATCACCCATCATGAAATGTGCAAATGTGCCAAAAGAATCTCCAAAAAAAAAAAATTCACTGAAGCCAAGCATAGCCTCTCACAACAACACTAGCTGGTACACTAATGCTGATGGGTTCCTAGATTACCTAGTGGGGGAGAAGCCTGTACTTCAAGCAGCTCCTTCAAGAGATAATTCTGGTTTTGGGAGAGTCTCCCATTGTATATGTTATATATAGTGTGTTTATAATCTGCTCTAGTCTTTAAAATTTAATACTATTTATACTGTGTCTTTAAGTATTTTTCTACAGCATAATTTTTAATGACTGGAATAGTTTGCATCACATTGATCCAAACCTCATTCAAATTATATACTGTATATATTTCATTTATCATAAATCTGTTTTTCAACACCAGTGATATTTCAAGAAATTCTTTTTTCAGGGACCTCTGGAGAAATCCTTACAAAGTTCTTCAGTTTCAGAAAGACAGAGAAATGTGGAGCACAAAGTGGCTGCCATTAAAAACAGTGTGCAGGTGAGTGATGTATATGAGATCTGTACAAGAACTTAGAAAGGTTGGCTACTGTCCCCATGCAACTGAATACATACCATTTTCCTCTGGGCCCAAAGTTAGCATGCACAGAAATCATAGTACAATTTACTAATAAGATAAATATCTCTTACACAATATGTTTATATAATAGAATTTTTTTGTGGGAAGCTTTTTAACTCCAATTTGAACTTTGTTGATATAGGACTATTTAGGTTATCTATTTCTTCTTGAATGAGCTTTGATAATTTGTATTTTTTAAGAAATGTGTCCATTTCATCTAAGTTGTCTTTAATGGTATAAAGTTGTTCATGATATTCCTTTATTATCCTTTGAATATCTATAGACTCCATAGGGATGTCACATCTCTCACTTAATAATGGTACATTTTGTTTTCTTTTTTTTCCCCTAGTCAGTCTGGCTAGAGATTTATCAATTTTATCAATTTAGAAAAGATGTCTTAAATAAGACTAACTTTCTGCCTTGTCACATGTAAAACAGGATGTTATTTTTCTTTCCAAAACATACATAGCATTCATTCTCTTATCCTTACAGAAATAACAATTCCATAAAATTAAATAAACTGCCTCATATATTGTCTGAATAGTAGGCAGAGAGTTTAAATGATGACTTTTTTTTTAGTTATTTCCTTTTTTTATTAATCAGTATTTTTTATTATGATATTGTGGGGTACAGTTAAGGGTTAGGTATACAAATATGCTTCATTCAGGCACCCTTGTTGATAAGAGGTGTCTCCCCATCCCCAGACAGATATTTACTACCATTAATCCCATCTCCCTTCCCCTCTCCCCCATAGTTTCCCACCACTGTCAGTCATTTTCTTATAGTATTACATTGGATGTTCAAGGTCCACTATATTAGTGAGAACATGTGATACTCGGATCTTTGTTTCTGTGAGAGGTCACTCAGTATTATAGACTCTAGTTCCATCCAGGTTGCTGCGAAATTCATGATTTTGTTCTTTTTTATGGCTGCGTAGTATTCCATCGTGTATATGTACCACGTTTTTTTAATCCAGTCCTCTTTTGATGGACAGCATGGTTGGTTCCAGGTTCTTGCTATTGTGAACAATGCTGCAATAAACATACGTGTGCAGGTATCTTTTTTATAGAGTGATTTGAGTTCTTCGGGGTATATTCCCAGTAGGGGGATTGCGGGGTCATATGGGAGGTCAATATTTAGAGCTTTTAGGAATGACATTTCAAAGCATGTATTTCCAGACTTCTGATTTAGTGATCCTCCATGATAAGTAAATCATGCATGTAAAAGTCTCTGCTTACACAGCTGCAAGAAAGATTGAGATTCTCAGACAGTGTCCTAGGACAAAATGTCTTCACACATTATAATGTTAAAACCAAGGGTGCTACTGACTCTACAGGGATGTAAAGGCAGGAGATGATTACTTTATTATAGTAAGAATACTTAAGTACATTAATCAAGACCACAGATGGACTTGTGACAATGGAGTTGTGACTCACTCTGTGGTGCAGGTCATGCTTCTGGGTTCCTAATAGGGTCAAACTGAAGTTAGACCCCAGTGGAGACCCTATGCTAGCTTGGCCCCATGCCCTTCCCTGTCCTGCTCCTGTGTGTCCTTTCTCTTAAGAGCACTTCCTCAATAAGTCCCGTGTCCTTAATCCCTGACCATGCTCTGATTCCAGGAAGCCCGGCCTGACATATAGGCAGAGCAGTTTGTATTTTTATCAACGCACTCCCCCGCTTATGCTGTTCTCAGCTTCCCTGTATCCTTCTAATGATGCTCAGACCACCAAGAGAGTTTTGGCAGGTTATTGCTGGGTGTGTGAATATTTTGCGATCGTTGATGACAATACAGTCTGAAAGCCTTTTAGTTACTTACTCTAGCACTGACTTTTCAGAGTTATGGCATTTAATATGCTTTTCATTAGAAGATTCTTCAAGATATTGCTTTCTTCTCTCCCTATCTGCCCCCCCCACCCCCCTTTTGTAGAGACAGGGTTTTACTCTGTCACCCAGGCTGTAGTGCCGTGATCTGATCAAAGGTCCTTTGCAGCCTCGAATTCCTGGGCTCAAGCAATCTTCCCACCTCAGCCTCCTGAGAAGCTAGGACTACAGGCAGGCATCACCATGCCCAGCAACTTTTAAAATTTTTTCTAGAAAAACGGTTTCGCTATATTGCCCAGGCTAGTCTCAAACTTCTGATCTCAAGCCATCCTCCTGTCTCAGCCTCCCAAAGCCCTGGGATCGCAGGTGTGAAGCACCGCACCCTCTTTTAACTTTTATTCAATTTTGAGATAAAAAGATGGAATTCCAGTATATCTCTGTTTTAAAATTACCTTTTAAAATTTGTTACTTCTTCTCATGTATGTGGGTTTCCTTACTTTAGTAACACATAGCTTCCCACAGGACTTTGTTCTGCAGAAGCTTAAAGTGAAATGTTACAAGTGATATTGGGGTGTAGTGAAAAGAAAGAAGAAAGACTTTGAAGCTAGACTAGAATGGATTTGAATTTCATATTTATGACGATAGGACTGCATGTTAGTCTCCTCACTTGAAAAGGGGAAATCGTTTCCTTTGCAGGTTGCTAAAATGAAAATGTGTGTAATGCTAAGGCATGGCGCAGGCTGCTAAAAAATTGGTAGCTGCTATTACTCTGGATGGATAGACAATATACAGTGTAGTCCAGAGTTACTACAATTCTTTATAGAGTTTATAAGCATAGAGAATGAGGCAACAGACAGGGATGGGAAGAGTGACCATAGCTAATGCTTATGAAGCAGGTACATGGTACCAGGCACTGTTTTAAGCAGTTTCCCTCATGTGATCCTTGTAACAACTCCACGAGGCAGGTACTGGCGTCCTCCTTCCTGTCCTCTCACACACCATCTTACAGGGGAAGATGCTGAAATGCAAAGACATTTGGTCACGTTCATACCGCTGATGAGTCACAGAGGTGGGACACAAATTCAGACTCTCTTACCCCAAATTCTATACTTTTATTAACCAACAATTGAGCTGATTAATATTTGGAATTTGTGGAGAAAGGGCCGTTGGAGGTGGATGTGTTTCCTTAGAGAAGACTTCTTGGAATAAGTAGGCAGTAGAAATTCGACATTTCTAAGAAGAAAGGGAGGTGCAGTAGCCTGACTCTACGAAGCAGCGGGTCTAACTTTGATTAAGTGCAGGGGTCGGAGTCAGACTGCTGGACTCCCCACAAACTCCTCACTGAGCACCTGAGTGACCTTGGGCACGTAAATGGCTTCCTATCTCTGAGCCTCCGCTTCTCCCTCTGTGCAAGTGAGGATAATCCACTTCATGGGTGTAGTGAGGACTTAATGAGATAATATAAGAAAAGCATTTAGCCCAGATCTTGACATTTAATAACTGTTATGTCTGAGCAGGAAAACATCACCCTGTTTGGAGGAAAGTAAAGTGAAAGTCTCAAAGACAGAAACAAATAGGAGGCACAGAAGAAACACAGATCTATTTTAAGTAGATAGAAAAAATATTTAGGCTGAATTGCCATAAACTACAGCATATTTGAATGGACATTTAAGCTAAACATGATAAATGATATGTTAATACAGAATTATATAAACTACCCAAGAATTCTAAAAGTTCAAAGATATTCATATTCTCGAATTTAAAAAAAGGTGGCATGAGAAGCATTAGTTGGAACTAATTAAGAAATGAGAGATGAGATGCTGAAAGATTTTTAGATCAGCAGAAAAAAATTTGTTGGAAGAGGAAGTGCAGCCTGGTTCTCCAGCATTATTCAACACACTTCAGAAGTGGCTCTTGCCAGTCTGTGGATGCTGCTGGAGAATGGGTGCATCAAAACGTGGATTGTAAAATATTTACGATGTTGTTTGATTGACAAGCTTAATTGTGACAGCAGAGTAAGTATGTTTTCTTTTGTGAAAAGATGACAGAACAAGATACCAAATACTTAGAAGACCTGCAAGATGAATTCGACTACAGATATAAATCAATTCAGACGATGGGTAAGTTTTTGTTTTTTCTGTGACTCTACATAGGGATAGAAAAGTAGCATGAATAGGGTTTCTTTTTTGCTTTCAGAGTTGATAAATTTGATCTACTTCCCTAGGTGAGCCTAGGGAAATACGAGGAATATTTCTTGGTTTTGCTTCTTCCTTCTTTCTCCACGTGTGTATACATTTATTTATTTTATTAAACAATTCAAAGTGAATTACAAACTGCATGAGGAATCACCCCTAGTTCAGCATATATCTCCAAAAAATAAGAATGTCCTCCAATAGAATCAAAATATCTTTATCACAAAAACAAAAGTAATATTTGGCTAACATGATCAGGAAATTACTAATATCACCCTTTGGTAGTATTTTTTAATATAACTTTCTAAAATTATTAATTAGAAATGTGCTTCATAGAAGAAAATAAGCAAAAGCATTAAACAAAAAAATCACATGAAATCTCACTATTTACAGAAAAACACTGTCAAAATCCTTTTCCTTCCAACTTTTTCTCGGTATATTCATATACATACATACTTATTTGTTTAGTTTCAAAAAAATGAGATCATGTAGTTTTATGTACTGAAGTTTCACCTAAAGTTTTATTTTTAACTATTTTCTTGCATCAAAAAGTCTTCAAATACATAATTGTAATAACTGTATGTGTCAAAATGTTAGGGCACTGCAATAGATTTGACTATTTTTAGTTGGTTAAAATTTGAGGTTGTTTACAATGAGGTAGTTTTTAAGAATTGGAGTAAGAATATTTACAAGACTTACAACAATTAATAGGACAATTGGAAAACTTTTAATTAGGTCTAAATTAGTTTTAGAATTGTGTCGATGCTTAACTTACTGGTTTTGATCCTTGTCCTATGCTTGTAAGAGAATAAAGGAAGCTGGATGAAGGGCATGTGGAACTCTACTATTTTTGCCACTTTTTCGTAATTCTGAAATTATTTCAAAATAATTTTTTAAAATAATTCAGGTATAATTTTTTTTTTACAGAATTATCTTCAACTATCAAAATGTTAGTTCCGGCCAGGCACAGTGGCTCATGCCTATAATGCCAGTACTTTGGGAGGCCGAGGTGGGAGGATTGATTGAGCCCAGGAATTCAAGACCAGCCTAGGCAGTATAGTGAGACCTCATCTCTACAAAAAAATTAAAAATTGGCTAGATGTGGTGGTGCATGCTTGTAGTCCCCGCTACTCAGGAGGCTGAGGTAGGAGGATTGCCTGAGCCCAGCAGGTCAAGACTGCAGTGAGCTATAATCATGCCACTGTACTCCAGCCTGGGCAACAGAGCAAAACTCTAACTCAATGATAAAAATTAAAATTAAAAATAAAATAAAGCATGAGTTTAAAATGTATCTTGAAGGACATATGGATGATCGTGATCAATGTTTAACTTTTTATAAGTGAGAATGAGTTGTTTTCTCCTAACATCATGTCTTAACTGCCAGGAAATATCATTCAAAATTGTCACAACTATTTGTATATACAACTGTTTCCTTTGAAGAAATGTCACAAGCATGGGTTTTGTCAGATTATTGGGTAGAGGCCATGATCCTAAAATGTTTTAGAACAACTATAAATGTAATCAAGCATTACAGTTCATTGAAGGCAGCCTCATTCTAGATTTCATGTGTGAACTACCAGCTTTAAGAATTAGATTATTTTGAACTTAATATGTTATGATTTGAGTCACTTTATTTTTCAGTGCTTCATGCACATTGTGAATAAAAATAATCATTTTTATCACTTAAAGCAAGTATTTATTTTTGTTTATAAGTGAAAAGAAAAATACCAGGAAAACCACTTACTACATTCTTGCTGGTGAAGACTGGGAAGATTCGCTGAAGAAATTTTCAGTTGATAAAATGCTCCACCAGCAAGATTTTGCGATGTGTGAGATTAAGAGTTAGTGAATGTGCAAAGTATTGCAGCCAGGAATGAGTTCCTGGTGATCAGTGCAATTTTGTAGAGAAATTGGCCGCAGGGGTGTGCTGGGGCCTCCTCTTCACAATTACACAGGTCAGCTCGGTGTTCCCAACCCTTATTTTTCATGGACGTGAATGGCCGGTATGAATAGTTACTAACTATTGTAGGGCACAGAGGAAATCTTCCCCTGTCACCTTCTTTGTTGAAAATGAACTGAAAAAAGGCAGATCAGGAGAAAAGGGCACACAAATTTATTTGAACACACATAGCCCAAAGGAATAGCAGGAGAATGATTATTCAATAACCCAACAGGGTACAGACATTGACATATCCTTCTTTCATAAGGGAAAGGGAGATGGGAACATAGGAGTAAGTGAACTCAGGTCATGAATGGGCCTAATGCTCAGAAAGTGGGAAGTAAAGAATTGGATGGGACTGGAGAACAAACAATAGGTTGGAACAAAGTTTGTCTGGGCTCTTGGTGTGGTGTTTCATTTTAAGACTCTTCCTCTATGGTATGAGTTCTAATCTCTGCTTAATGAAATTTCAGAGAAAAGATCAAAGGCAATTGTGTTCCTCTTTGGGGATCCAGTTTCTAGGTAGATAGGGGACATTCAGAGAATAACTGCATCCATCATGTGCTTTGGAGAGACGGAGGATTGAGAGAGACCTTGAGTCGGCTTCTTTAGTTCCATCATTCTGGGATGGTGTTTTCTGAGCTCCAACACTATAGTTATCAATCAAGTTTAATGCTCAAGTTAAAAAATACAATGTTTGTATACTGCATGTCTCCCTATTTAAAAGAATAAATCTTTTTTCAGATATTTTTCTTAATTTGTAATTCTTTCCCACTGCCAGTTTTACTGTGAGAACAGCCCATTTTGCAAAGAAAAAGACCAAGTAAAGAACCTGGCCTTGATTGGTTCATGAGGCAAAGCACATAAAACCATAACTCTGTCAGGCAGTGTCTATAACTCTTGAGTATAAATTAGGATAGGAAGGGGTAGGTAAAGGCAACAGAAAGAGTCAAATATGATTTAATCATGGGCACAAAGGGAGGCTCCTCACTTTCTTACTCATACCAGACAACCAAGGTTATCATTAATGTAGAGGCGTTCAGTAAGGAATCCACCATAAGAACTTATCTCCTCCCTCCATCACCAAAACAAAGAACACTGAGTGAAGAATGTCCTCTGCTGAAGGTCTGTAGAATAAAGACGTCTCCCTCTGCTTCCATGTAGTTCTTCCTGGCAAAATGAGCAGTTGAAGACTGCAGCTGAAGACTTATCTTCCAAGCTCAACTCTGGTGGTCTCATTGAGATTCATACCACATGGGTTCTCCTCCTGGCCTGGGCTGGTTTAAGATGGATTGGGGGATTGAAACCAACTTAACTTTTAGGAACAGAGAGCTTTAGCTTGGAGAGGACTCGACATCTGATCTTTTTACCTTTGCAGATCAGAGTGACAAGAATAGCGCCTTAATGAATCAGGAAGTGTTGACACTGCAAGAAATGCTGAACAGCCTTGATTTTAAGAGAAAGGTTAGTGAAGAATTTGAATTTGGCCTTTTGCCTATTTTTCTCCTCTTTCTAAACCTAGTCCAACTTAAAAGAATTAAGCTGTCAGATGATATTATCAGTTCCGTTTACCTTGAATGAATAAACGGCAGTGTTTCTAGGAATAGTCCCACGCTGTCGGCCACCCTTCTTGTGAGTTTACAAAGCCAGATCTCTCTAGAGTCTCTTGCTCATGCGATCCATTTACTGTAGCTATTGTTAATTTCAAGGTGGACATGTTGCCCAATTTTGCCACTATCTCAGACATGGCTGTTGTATTTACAATACTTAATTTGCTGAGATGGATTCTATTACATATATATAATTATAATCTTACTTATTGGTGACTAAAAAATAAGTGTGTTAGTTTCCACTCTAGGAAGTAACGTTATGTTAAGCAATTTCCAAGATTTCAGAATAGTTCATTGCCAATTGAACATAAGCAACCCACCCTCCTCCCAAGGAGAGGAAGAACTTTGTTCTGGCTCAGTGACATGTTATTAAAGAGGGGAAACATCTCAATTTCCATTTTCTACCTTCCCTTAAAAATAAGTGCAATCAAAATTTAACCACTCACAGATAAATCAATAGTTTACTTCTAAAAGTTCAGCTCAGTAGTGTGTACCTGTAGTGCAGCTACTTAGAAGGCTGAGGCAGAAGGGTCACCTGAGCCCAACAGGTCAAGGCTGCAGTGGCCATGAGCATGGCACTGCTCTCCAGCCTGGGTGACAGAGTGAGACTCCAACTCAAATAAATAAATAAATAATAGAAGTTCAGCTCCTTTTTTTGCACACAAACAAGGGGTTCATCCAAGACAAAATGTGATTTTTTAAAAAATACATAATAAATCTATGCTCTGTGTTTTATGCATGCCATCTTTCTACTTTAGAAATAAAATTTTAAGAGAAAAGAAAAGAAACATTGGCAATAATTCAGTCCACTCACTTGATTGTACAGATGAGAAGACCAAGTTTCAGCAAAGTTGTATGCCTTTGTCCAAATTCGTATAGCTTATAACAAAACCAGGACAGAAATCCATATCTTCTGACCCCTAGGCCTTTAAAAGTTACACTTCTCCACTATGTCTCCCAGAATTCAGATGAAGTTCTCTTAAAAATTGGGCTTATATTTTAGTCAGTTCATTTTCAAATAAAAGCATGACCATAGTTATAAAAAATAACTTTATAAACATTCTTTTAGAAAGCAAATCTGTGGTTTTATGACTACAAGATTCAGAACTGGGTGTGGTGGCCCATATCTGTAATCCCAACACTTTGGGAGGTCAAGACTGGAAGATCACCTGAGCCCAGGAGTTCTAGACCAGCCTGGGCAACATAGTGAAAACTCATCTCTACCCAAAAAAAAAAAAAAAATTAGCCGGCCATGCCAATAGTCCCAGCTACTCAGGAGGCTGAGGCAGAAGGATCGCTAGAATCCAGGAGGTCAAGGCTGCAGTGAGCCATGATTGTGCCACTGCACTCCAACCTGGGTTACAGAGACACCCTCCCGCAAAAAAAAAAAAAAAAAAAAGAAGAAAAAAGAAAAAGATTCAATATTGTCACGAGAGTTCCAAATTCAATATATTTGTCCTGAAACATATTATGAGAATGTTAACTTGGTCATTCTTCTTTCCTTATGACATTGTTGAAAGATTAATTTGAAAGGCAGAGCTGTGGCATTTGTGCTAGTATGTAGGGAAATAGTTGGTCAAAATGTTAACTGTTAAGCCTTTATCTCCCAGGCCAAATAATGTTGTCATTTGGATTCTAAATGAGTCGTTGTTGCTGCTCATGCAAACCTCTTGGGTGGTCGCTTGATTTTTAGGAAGCGCTCAGCAAGATGACACAAATCGTGCATGAGACGGACCTGCTGATGAACAGCATGCTGGTGGAAGAGCTACGGGACTGGAAGCGGCGGCAGCAGGTTGCCTGCATCGGGGGTCCCCTTCACAACGGGCTCGACCAACTGCAAAACTGGTAAGGGAGTTCCTGTAGTTTCTAGTGAAACCCACAGGAAACGCCAAGCCTCAGCGAGGCTCAGCCAGAAGGTACAGGCTCAGGCCGGGCCGCTCACTCAGGCTGTGGATGGGCATTGGCAGGGGCACTCTGCAGGGGAAAACAGCTGGCGTCCAAGTGCTGGCTGGCTAAGTGCTCTTCCCTTCCACTTCTTCAGGCGGAAAAAGGAACCATCTATAGAATCTATAGAATGTATAAGGATTGCTTAATTTTCTCCTGCAAGATACCAATCTTAAAAGACTTAAATGAAATCTCTGACACTAGCAATGTACTTTCTTTAAGGACCTGATTAGAGAAGCACTCGCTTTAAAACCTTGACAATCAATATCTCAGCTTTTTAAATGTGTGTCTTAGATATCAGAGGCAAACATTAGTTTTGGGTTTTCAGCTTAGTGATTTCTTTTGTTAAGGGTGTTGGTCAAAATATCCAAAAATTCAGACAAACAGGCAAATTAAATTTAAGAGATCTACCATCATGGTGACTATAGTTAATAACAATATATTGTATCCTTGAAAATTACTAAAAAAGTAGATTTTAAGGGTTCTTACCACACACACACACACACACACACACACACACACACACACACACACATACACTGAGGTAATAATGCAGGTTATTTAGCTTGTTTAGCCATTCCACAATGCACACATATATCAAAACATTATGTTGTATACCATAAGTATATCCAATTTTTGTCAATTTAAAATAACTCAGATGATTAATATAACCTAGCATGCCCTGTCTATGTATGTACACATGCAATTAAATGTAGAGACTATCCTTTGCATGAGAAGATTAAAATGTTGATAGTTTTTTTTCTCTTTAAAATGCAAAATAGAACTTTTTGATTGGAAGAACAGTTGGAAAATACAATGAAAAGAAGGAAAATGTTCTGATATAGTCTAAAATTGCTTTCTAAGGGTATGATGTAACACAATGGAATATGTCTCACTAAAAGCTCTGCCCTGCCAGACCTACTTGTCAAGAAAAATATTGATCTCACTTGGGGACACATTTTGATTCTCTAACCTCATAGTACTCTATTGTTGTGAAAACAGCAATAAATTGATAAAGAACTTAGAGATTGGTGATCCTACCAAAAATCATCAGGGATTCAACACCTCTCCCGCAGTCTGGAACACAGAATACTTTAAGTGAAAAGTTGCCACAGGACCAAATGGACTTCCCAAATCTGATGAGATGCTCTGCCCCCTGTGCTTGAAAGTCTGTTCCATCCCCATTTCAATCTTACTCTTCCCCAGACTTCTGGCCCAAGCCCCCACAGCCATTTCTGAGGTAAGGTCACCACATAGGGGGTGAAACTCCAAGCAGTTTCAGGAGTAAGCATTTCTAAATATACCTTTTTCCAGACGGAGTCATTAATCATTTCTAGCTAATACTTAGAACTTGTAAAAATATGTTGGGGTAGAGATCTTTCATATTTTTTTCAATATTCTTTCATAAAACATGCTTCATATCATGTATTTTATAGGTGAAATTTTGCTCTTTCTTTGCCCTTTAGTGAGTGCCATTTTCTTAGCATACATATGCTTAACAGGCTTAAACAAATAATAATTAAAAGAGATTTGGTTCCAGATGTTGACAGAATTGCATAAATGATGTCTATAATGGAAGTTATCAATTAGAAAACATTGAAAACATCCAAGAAAAAAAATGGGTTAGGAAAATAAAAATAAAGAACTGTCACTAAACTTCAAAGAAATTAAGTGACTCATTCAATTAATTTAATAATTACTTAATAAAATAATATATGATCAAGTGTTGAAATGCTTGATTGTTAAGGAGAAAAACTGTCCCTGATTTTCATTTGCTGTTCACTAGCTTTACACTACTGGCAGAAAGTCTCTTCCAACTCAGAAGGCAGTTGGAGAAATTAGAGGAGCAATCTACCAAAATGACGTACGAAGGTGACCCCATCCCGATGCAAAGAACTCACCTGCTGGAAAGAGCTACCTTCTTGATCTACAACCTTTTCAAGAAGTAAGTGAAGGGTTATCAGCTTAAGGGCTAAACAATGTCCTCAGTTCTGTGGAGCTGTAAAAAAACCCCGCTGAGGTTTTGTTGTTCAGTTGGAGGAGGGGCAGGGGAGTACTCAGCAACACATCTCAGGCAGAGAAGAGAACCCCAGAAGGTTTCAGAAACCACATTTCTTTTTTTTTTTTTTTTTTGAGTTGAAGTCTCACTCTGTTGCCCAGACTGGAGTGCAGTGGCCGTTCCCGGCCACCGCAGCCTCGACCTGCTGGGCTCCGGCGATCCTTCTGCCTCAGCCTTCCGAGTAGCTGGAATTACAGGTGCGCGCTACCACGGCCGGCTAATTTTTTGATTTTATTGTAGAGATGAGGTCTCGTCTGCCCAGGCGGGTCTTGAACCCGCAGACTCAGGCAGTCTACTCACCTCAGCCTCCCAAAGGCACGGGATTACAGGCTGAGCCACCGAGCCCAGCTCAGAAACCACATTTCTACACTTCACTAGTTATCAACACTTCTGCCACCAACTGGACCCGTTTTCACAAGCTAAGCCACATCACCCACCTACAGTTCAGTGTTGACATTTTAGAAAAGATTCCAAGGGTTTCTTAAGTTCATAGCGAAGCACTGAAGGAGGGAGAACATTTTTGTGCTTATAAACTTATCTAAACAAAAAAATACTAATGTGTACTGGAAGTCCTAATGTTAAGTCCAAAAAGTAGCATGAACTTTGCTCTCTTTGTTTAATATAATAAAAATGAACTGGGGCTTTTATTCATGACTCAGTTATAAAATGGTGGTGCGTGCCTGTAGTCCCAGCTAATTGGAAGGTGGAGGTGGCAGGATCGATTGAACCCAGGATTTCTGGGCTGCAGTGTACTAGCTGATCAGATGTCCACACTAAAATCAGTATCTATATGATGGCTTCCCGTAAATGGGGACCACCAGGTGGCCTAAGGAGAAGTGAACTGACCCAGGTCAGAGCAAGTCAAAATTTCCAGGCTGGTCAGTGATAGAAGAATATGAATCTAACCTGGCTAACATAGTGAAAACCCATCTTTTAAAAAGAAAATTATTATTCACTATTGTTACTTAAGGACAATCTTTAGGCATTTTTCTATCTCATTGTAATTACAAAAAGTTGTTGGAAAGAGTTGAGTTTAATGGAGGTTTGAACATTCTTCTAAGGATAGAAAATGTAGACTTTATGAGAGGATAGCACCCTTCTTTTCTGTGGTTTTCAAGCATTAGGATGTTCAATGATTTCAAATGATGTGTTTTATTTCCTTTCCATCTAGCTCATTTGTGGTTGAGCGACAGCCATGCATGCCCACCCACCCTCAGAGGCCTTTGGTGCTTAAAACCCTCATTCAGTTCACTGTAAAACTAAGGTAGGCAGAACACCGTCTGTGGTTCCGTCTGTTTACAAAGCTGTGACCCCTGGGTACGGTCCATGTGTCCCTGGTGTGCAGTTCTGTCCTCCTCTGCCTTCTAACTGTTGGATTTCCGTCCTCCTCCTCTGAACTCTGCTCCTCACTGTCTTGATAGATGATCCTTTACTCAAGCTTCTCCCTAAACCGCCCTCAGGTTTTCTAGTTTCCTTCATGACTTCTTACAGTCAACTCTTCTTTGTTAAGCACCTGCTCTGTGCCCAGTGCTGAGTTTTGGTAATTACCCAAAGGAAAGGTTAAGACAAGAGCCCTACTTGTCAAAAGCATGGCCATGCAGATGAGGACATGAGGGATATTAGCATGAAAGTAGGTGGTTATGGTATCAGGCACTGTGGAATGAATTGCTGGAAAGGTTGACAAGAGACTGGAGAGATTGGGGAGCAAAGAGGGATTGTGGGAGAGGGAGACTACAGAAATGATGACTGCCTGGGTCTGTTTTGTCATTGTGTAGAGGGGGAGAGACAGAATTGAGAAGACAGATGGAGGACAGGTCATGGAAGACTTTGAATATCTGGCCCAGACAGCAAAATGGCACATTCATCCCTTGTGATTACCCAGGATTTTCCGCAAAAACGTTCAACACTGTCATTTCTGTACATTCTTGCTCTGTGCCTGATTGAAAGACACTTGGCGTTTGTGCCGTTGTTGCTCTGCTTTATCTGTTTCTATTAGCACGAACAATCAAAACTTACAGTTTTCCCTGATGATGCTTAAAACAATGAGTCTGAGTCCTCACTTTCGGAGATTTTCATCGTGCCTCCAACTCCAAGGCCTAAAGCTTTAAATTTCTAATCACTAGGCCACATCTAGGAAGCTGAAACTGCAGACGAACACACATCAGGAGGGCTGATGCCATGGCAGAATTGTACTCAATTACATATTAGAGTTCGGGGTCCTATGGTAGGGTACCTGATCACATGTCACTATGGGAACTCCATCACCAAAGGGAAGGGATTTGTCCTCAGATTGCTTTTTTAAAACTCCAGTTTAATCATCTTCTTTGTGTAAATTTGCACCAAGATTTAAGAACTGAAAACAAAAGGGAGAGACCAAGTTCCTTTTTAAAATTTTATTCTTCTCAGAAGTCGTTAGTTCCTCCTTCCCACATCTTGAACTCAGAGGACAGTAACAGGAAAGGGAGATGGATAGAGAGGTGGTGGTCCCTCTTGTTTTTGAGACTCCCCCATAGATGACCTAGTAAGCCTAAGATGCTCTCTGGGACCAAAGGGGATCTGGGTAGAGCTTACTCAGCAAAACGCTCTGAGTGGAAGGTCTCCCAACCAACACCACCTTGCATGTTGTTTGAACTGATTGCCAGGGACATAGATCATCCCTGGTATGCGAGTTCTGTCCCCTCTTCCACCCAACTGTTGGGGCCCTATCCTCCTCCTCTCTTCCCCACTGTCTTGAGAGATGTTCCTTCACTCAAGGTTTTCCCTAAAACCCCTCTCTACTAGTCTTGCATCCTCCCATCTCAAAGGGAGGGGTGATGTGGGACTCCAGTGTGGCCATTGGCACGTTACTGCAAGAAGATCAGATCCTTCCTGTAAAAGGATGGCAAGGAGAGGGGAGAAGGAAAATTGTCCGGCTGAGTTTCCTATGACCACGTCCCCTCCTCTCCACCAGACCACTGACTGAACACTTGGCATACTCCAAATCCTGAAGTCAATCGTGTCCTTGTGCAGGGCATTTAAACAGCCTCTTTGCTGTTCTAGCCACCCTTTTGTTTGAGCTGTCTGCGATCTGGGGTTTTACTTGTCTAATGCTGATGAGGTGCTCACCACCAGACTGGCCATATTCCACGTGTCTGCTTTCCCCGGTCCCTAAGACTGTGGCTGAGTAGACAAGAAGAACTTAGTGCATCTTGAGGGATGGAGAGAGGTTTGGGGTGAGTGCATGAGTCAATGAATAAAGACGCGAGGGATGGAATGACTGTGACATTGCACTGAACGCACAGAGAGGGGCTGAGCACAGGGGTAGCTCTGAGGAGTTGGGGCGAGCAGAAGGACACCAGGAGGAATAAAAGGAATTACTATTCTGAACTTTAGTCATTTGTTTGTTTTAAGTTAGGTCTTTTTTTGGTGATGAACTTTTTTGCTGTTATTTAAATATGGTGTGTTGAAAGATCATGAATATATTCAGATTGGGGTTTTCCATATTCTACCAGAGGCCTAGTCTTTCTCAGTATTTTCACCATAAGACAGTCATCATCAAAATATTCAATTTTACTAAGATTGCATGTTTTTTAGTAATATGAAGATAAAATGAGGCCATAGAGTAGACTTGCAAGGATTTTTTTTCTTGTATTTATATATATAACCCAGATGTGTCCAGATGGATGGCTATTTTTCTGAGCTAGCCAATGTATTATTGAGCACACATCAACTGAAGCAATATGGAAACACTTTGCAAATATTTGTCAGTAATGATAGTAAGTGACTGATGTTAGCATTAGTAACATGACAAACTGAAGAGGAGCCGTACACTTTTAAAATGTGCTAGTATATAAGGAAGATAATGGAAGTTTTATGTATATATGCCATAATTACATTGAAATCTTTAAATACAAAAAGGCTTTTAATACTTTACATTTTATCTTTGATTCTTTATTGATGTCTCTTTCCAGGCTATTAATAAAATTACCAGAACTAAACTATCAGGTAAAAGTTAAAGCATCAATTGACAAGTAAGTTTTCTAATTTTATTTTGAAATGTTAAAATGTAAGACTTTTCAAATGAATTGTCTTTATTTTATAGAATAAGTTTGAACTTTTAAATTTACTTCTCTATTGTTATGTATAAATGTACTTCAAATATTTGACTTTGAAGTTCAAACATGTAACGGAACCCAATGACGACTTGATTTTTAAAAAGTTTTCCTATGGAGAGACTTAAATAAAATTTTATAGGTTATTGTTAAAATAGCATAGAAAGTTTTTATTAGATCTGTTAAGTAGCTCATTTTAAGAAATCTTCTTCATTTTACAGGAATGTTTCAACTCTAAGGTAAGACATTTACTTAGTAGAATTTTTTTGCTGTTCTTATAAATGTATTTTACCTGAGCCCATGTAAATATCTAAGATTTCCTTTCTAGCAATCGAAGATTTGTACTTTATGGAACTAATGTCAAAGCCATGTCTATCGAAGAATCTTCCAATGGGAGTCTCTCAGTAGAATTTCGACATTTGGTAAGTTTCGCAGTAAAATCACATAGGCTTTTATTCCCCCAAATCAGATACATCTTTACTAATAAGTCTTATAATTTGGTGTATTTTGTTCTTAAGCATTTTATGAGAGATTAAGGACCATATTGAGAAATAAAATGTGCCCATCAATGGGGAATTTATATGGTGGAAAGAACCCTGAACCTTAACTCATAAGGTTCTAAACAATTATGACATAGGCTCTAAGCCTACATGGTAGTTGGTCAATATAGTTTGATGATAATGACAGAGATATTCTGTCCTATAATTTTTATAAAATTTTAAAAATCAAGTTGCAGAGTGGAATATTATTCAGCCATAAAAAAATGATGAAATCCTGTGATTAGCAGCAACATGGATGAAACTGCAATGGAAGTCACTATGCTAAGTAAGATAAGCCAGACAAGAAAGACAAATATTGCGTGTTCTGGCTCATATGTGAGAGCTAAAAAAGTGAGTCTCATGGGCATAGAGTGCAGAATGGTAGTTACTAGAGTCTGGGAAGGGAAGAGGGAGGAGAGGATGAGGATAATTGGTTAGTGGGTACAAAATTACAGTTAGATAGAAGAAATATGTTCTAGCATTTGAGAGCCCAGTGGGGGAAATTAGAGTTAACAATAATTTATTGTATATTTCAAAATAGCTAGAAGAATTGTAATGTTCCCAGCACAAAGGAAAGATAAATGTTTGAGGTGACGGATAGCCCAGTGACTCTCGTTGGATCATTACACATTGTATATATGTATCAAAATATCAAATGTAGCCCCAAAATACGTACAACTGTGAAATATCGATTTAAAAATACAACGAGGGAAACCACACACACACACACACACACACACACACACACACACACACACACACACACACACACGGATAGGCACTCCTGGATTTTTAAAATCTCCCCAAGGAGTGAGTGACCTCTAATAACCATGTCTGGCTAAAAGCACTTTGGTTTTGGGAGGCTTACTTGGGGAATAGGATGCCCTTGGATGTGGCAGTTGTACACAGTTCACCGTGGCATTTCTAGAAAGCTCTGACCCACCTCATCCTGTTGCTTCTTGCTCTCACCACTTCCTCTTGACCTAGAGTTCTCTTTCTGCCTTCTTTCTAATTGAGATTGCACAGCTCTTAGACACTCAAAGATCCTACTGCTTTTCTTGCCAGAAACATGCTTCTCCTCTGGTTTCTTAGCATTCAGCAAGTGACTCCCCTGGAAGTTGGGGCACCAGTGAATCAGCCTCGAAAGGTCTCCTCTCTAAAAGAGAAAATGTAGGTTATGCAGAAGGAGATCTGCATACACACGTGTATGCTGATTTCTGGTTTGGATTTTGTTTGGTTTTTCATATTAAAGAGTATATTTTCTTTTTAATTGAATCCCTCCTGTGTGAGACTGCCAAATGAATACAACATAATATAACTTTTAAGGTGCAATGTATAAACCTGGCGTGGTGGTGTGCACCTGTGTTTCCAGCTACTTGGAAGGCTGAGGCGTAAGGATTGCCAGAGCCCAGCAGGTCGATGCTGCGATGCTGGGGTGACTTGTGAGTGTGTCACTGCACTCCAGCCTGGGTGACTGAATGAGACTCCAACTCAAAAAAAAAAAAAAAAAAGGATGCAACGTAATAAAAATAGTCATGTATTATAGAGTATAACTGTAACTAGCACTCTTTTTGGTTATGCTCAATTCCTGTCCTCCAAGAACATTTAATACAGGCCATGTTTAGTAGGAGGTAATGTAGTAAGATAAGAGCCCTTAACTGAGAAAATGCCTCCCAAAATGTCATGTAGAAAACACAGGACAAGGAACACACCCCAAAGTGGTGAGGTCTAAAGACCACTCATTTCAGCAGGTACAATGTACAATATATGAAATAACAGAACTTTAGTTTCTACAGTGCTCTTCTAGATGCAAAGCAGTTTTACACTCTTTTATGCATAACAACTTTAGTCACTTTTAGTCATTAAAAAATATAGGAAATAAGAGAGGCAAAATTTTAAAAAGTTAAAAGTCACCTGTAATCCTACCCCCCTGAGGTAATACTGTTAATATTTCCGAGTTTGTGTCTTCATCCTTTTTTCTAATGTATTTATATATGCTTATTTTAAAAGTGGGATCAATGGTGCATGCTGTATCATTTGCTCACCGCGTCTTTTCATTCCATCATCTGTATCAATGCACATTTCTTGCGGCTGTCGGTCTTCTTCCACCCTGATGTCATTTAACAGCTGACCGTGCCGTGCCACACACACTGCCCATACTTTCTTTCCCCAGCCCTCTCTGTTAGACTTGGTATCACCGGGCCAGGAATGACTGCTTAGCTCACATGATGCTCTCTGGGCACAGAGGAGTGCTGTACAGATTCTGAGCGATCCCGCATGATTTCCCTTTTGGAAATGCTGGCTGAAAACTACAGTCTCCATGGTATGCCAGCATGCTCACCGATCTCAAGGAGTTTCTAAAGGGGGGTCCCGGGAGGGGATGCAGGAAGCCCCTCTCTGCGGAGCGCAGGCAGCTGTGTCAGGTTCCAGGGAGTTGGAAGACATCTGGGTTACTGTCCTAGAAGTCCAGACTGAGAACAGGACCACGACAGGCATGGCCACTTTGCTGTGTAGCTGATCTTGTTCCCCAGCTAAACAGTGTTGTTTTCTTTCACAAAGCAACCGAAGGAAATGAAGACCACTGTCGGAAGTAAAGGAAATGAGGTAGGAAGTGTTTTCTCTTGGAGATTTTTTTCTGGAAGATAATCCCATTTTTTAAAACTAAGCTTTTAAACTGTCTGGCTCCGTATAAAATGAAATCCATGTTTCTCTGACTTTAAATGTAAAGCTTGATAACCGCAGACAATATGGGGACTTTTTAAAAATGGAGAGAATAAAAATAGCATATAGTAACACTCTCCAAACAAAATAATTCTTAACATTTTGGTATACATCATTCCAGTGTTTTATTTACGTATGTATTTCTTTAAAAATATATGACACACATTGTTTCATAATCTGCTTTTTTTCACGTAGCAAAATATGGCAAGTAGCATTCTATAGTTTGGAGAACATGATTTAAGTTGGTTGTATTATATTGCATTGTTTAGGTGTGCCGTAATTTCTTTGGTCTGTCCTTTATTATTCTTAATTCTCCATTCACTCAGTTTCTTACATACGTATGAGGCAAGACTAAAATATCATGACACATTATATAAAAGTCCCAGGTGTAAAAACAACCCTATTACTTTGTGGTATCAATTCTCTCACTCACTAATGTTTGTATTTCACCAGATAAATTGAATAAAGGCACAAATGGCTGCAGTCTGAGTACTCACACTCTTGTCAGGAGAGGGTAGAGTGGTTGGATCCTGGGTTGGAAGCAATCTTGGAGATCATCTGTTGAGTTGGCCTAGAAACTCAGGCTCCAGTCTATGACCTATATATTTGGAATTAGAAAACCAGGCTTTGAGTCCATGCTCTGATAGTGACTGAGAATGTGATCTTTGGCAAATGGCCTGATGGAGAAATATTGCATTTTTCCCCCCTCTAAGACATGAGGGTACTAATGCCCAATGCTGTCTGCTCGGAGACCCTGTGTAGTTACCACTTGCCTGATGCAACTACAAAGCAGTGAGGCTTATTTCTGGTGTAGACTGTGTGGATCCTGTTTTTTGGCCTTATAGTCATAGCTCCTGCGAAAAAGATCTTTGAATTATCTGAAGGAAACCCAGCTTCCAGTGACATCAAATCTAACACACCTCGCAAACCACAAATATCTTGTCACAAAAACTCGAATGCCCTACTGTCTTCCCCTCCAAGAATTCTTCGTTCCCTTAATTGTGTCTTAAAGATCACTTGACAAATATCACAGTCCCATCAAAGATGAGCCAAGTTTTCCTTCCAGGGTAGAGTCGCTGCTCAGGACAGAGTCCCCAGCAGGTAAATAAAAGCCCATTTCAAACATCACTGGAATTTTGGCCAGAGTTGCAATATGTCATTCAGCTTGACATCCTTGACAGTTATTTATGAGTCTGAACAGACTAAGCCCAATTATTTTGAACTTTTCTTAAGTAAAACCAATCAAATGGGATTAAGTCTAAACACTCAACTCTTGCAGTATATTGTTATCTCTATGAATGCCAAATCAAAATCTTTACTTGAATTTTCCTTGAGGCAGAAATCTAAGTCAATCATTATCTACTATAGAAAAGCCGAAGCCGGGCTCGGTGGCTCAGCCTGTCATCCCGCGCCTTTGGGAGGCGGAGGTGAGTGGATGGCCTGAGCCCGCGGGGTCGAGACCCGCCTGGGCAGCGAGACCTCATCTCTACAACAAATCCAAAAATCAGCCGGGCGTGGTGGCGCGCGCCTGTAGTTCCGGCTACACGGAAGGCTGAGGCGGAAGGATGGCCGGGGCCCAGCGGGTCGAGGCTGCGGTGGCCGGGAGCGGCCGCTGCGCTCCTGTCTGGGCGACAGACTGAGACTCCAACTCAAAAAAAAAGGAAGAAAAGCCGGCTACTGTCTTATTATCACTGTATACTTCTATTGCTTTGAATGTATTTCCTCATATTGTCTGATTACAAAATCGTACGGTCATACAGTGACTTTTATGGTTTCCTCTTCGGGTGTGCTAGATGGGGTTAATTTTATTCTATTCTTTGAGCGCCACCTGTTGGTAGAATTTTAGTATGGCTCCCGGTACCCTTGAAACACGTCACAGACCTGAACATCCTTGTGTGTCCTGCAGGAACAGTTGACTCGCCATGAAAGGTGAAGAAGGAAGAGGGGTCTAGAATCAGGGTCGTGGCCAGTTGGTAGGATGATAAAAGGAAAGCCAGGAAGACAGGAGAAGCCTTGGCAGTAAAGGAGAATTGACAAAGTCATGGGGCCAGGAATCGTGGTGGTGCACTTCAGGAAAACCCGAAGCTAGAATATCATAAACTTCTTTTCAGGTTTCTAAAAGTTGCTATTGCTTATCAGTGAACACCTGTGGCAGGAGTTCACAGTCTGCTAAGAGTTTATTTAGCAATCCTCAGGTGGCATTTACTCTAGACTGGGCACTTCCTGAGAGCTCATGTGTATGAATTTCTGTAACACTTGTGACAAGATTGTGAAGTAGTTCCTAGTCTCATATTTATTTCACTTAGGGAAACTGAGTGGTTGCACAGCTTACTCAAGATGACAGGGCCCTGGATTCAGTTTACTAACATATAAGACCATTGTGTCTGTATTATTAGTGAGATGGGCCTACAATTATCCTTTTTTGTAGAATTCAAAATGAGTTAAAAAGCATTTTCAGACTGCATGGTGGTTCATGCCTGTAATCCCAGCACTTTGGGAAGCTGAGGTGGGAGGATCACTTGAGCTCCAGAGTTTGAGACCAGCCTGGGCAACACAGTAAGACCCTGTCTCTACAAAAAGAAAGAGAGAGAGAGAGAAGAAGGAAGGAAGCAAGAAAGGAAGAAAAGAAGAAAAGAAGGAAGGATCAGGGAGGGAAGGAAGGAAGAAAGGAAGGAAGGAAGATAGATAAATAAGAAGAGAGAATTTTCTCTCTCTAAAAAAAAAAAAAACAAAAAAACTTGCAGGACCAGCAGGGACCTGAAGTTTTTAGGGACCTGGTACCCAGGGCCCCCTGAAAGGGGCCATGTCTCCAGCTGAACCAAGATTCCAACCGTGGCCATCTGATCCCTTGTCCCTGCTCTCCCTCTCTGCAGCCTCTGGGGTCACAGAACCCACCCTGGAGCGGAGAGCTTGTTGGTGCTCCTGTCGGACCTCCTCATGCCCCGTCACCTCACCCATCTGTCTCACACAGAGTCTGCACTTGGCCCATGTGCTCAGAAATCACAGGCAACCTCACACCAGGATTTAAAATAATACTTCTTCAAGAAAATGCTGTTGGCCTTTCCCTTATCTGCTGTATCTCCTTGTGCAATTCTGTTGTGCCTCGGTGGGATCGTGGAAATAGTGCCATGCTGGGCTCTACCTCTTACAGGCAGTGTCACCTTGCACAAGCCACTTAACTCCTCTGGCTCCCAGTTTCCTTACTTACAGGATGGGGCTCAGGTTGCCTTACACTTCACAGGACCAGTAGGGTGTGTGTGAGGCTGTGGCGGTGGGCTGTGCTGCTGTTTGTTGTGGCTCTTCCTTAATTTCCTTATCTCTCTCTCTCTCCCTCTTCTTTCTTTTTGTAGAGACAGGCTGGTCTCGAACTCTGGAGCTCGAGCAATCCTCCCACCTCAGCTTCCTAAAGTGCTGGGATTAGTCATGAACCACCATGCCCAGCCTGAAAATGCATTTTAACTCATTTGTTTTCTATACAAATTTGAGATGAACATTACAAAAATGATAATTGTAGGCCATCTCATTAATAACATAGACATATATACAGCCCTCCATGCTGTCCCCTCTGCAGAGAGCAGGTGTTCACACTCATGGGAAAACAGGCTCTAAAGTGTGGTTCCTGGTCTGGTGAAAAGGCTGTTGTCTGTGGTCCCAGCTACTCGGGAAACTGAGGTGGGAGAATCGCTTGGGCCCAGGAAGTCGAGGCTGCAGCGAGCTATGATCGTACCACTGTGCTCCAGCCAGGGTGACAGAGTGAGACCTTGTCTCTAAAAAAAAAAAAAAAAAAAATTTTAGTAGTACCTGACTTCAGACAACTGATGATTGTCATCCTCCTCCGCCCACCCGCCAAGTGCTCGGCTGGAGACATGGCCCCTTTCAGGGGACCCTGGGTACCAGGTCCCTAAAAACTTCAGACCACCATTTACTTGTCCGTGTGCCTCTTTTAGGGGATTTCATGTCTGGGGTACCTGCTACCACCCCGGCCATGTGCGCACACACATACAACTTTGGTTTCCTCAGTTCTGCTTTCGTGATTATAAAAGCTTGGATCAGATCACTATTAAGTGATTGAGAACACACCACGATGCCATGAACGGTGGTTTCTCTCAAGTTGCCATTCTAAACCTCTGTAGCATTGCCACACCCTGTGACTGTCTGACTCTGAGACTGTCCAAGAAGTCATGACTCATCAGGATGTGTGGTGGCTCCTGGCTTCAGGGCTACATGAAGGGGGCAAGTTGAGAGACCAAAGAGATGCCCCAGGAGCCCCTTCTGCCCCTTCTGCATGAAGCTCTGGGTCCCTCGCCCCTGTTTCTCTCAAGGCAGCTTTATTTAATATATTTTCCAGATGGGAACCTTGGTGGGAAATTTACTTCCAAGAATGTGTTCCAAGGTTAAAAAAAAAAAAAAACATTGAAATTCATTGAACTGGACGATCTCTGAAGGTCCTTTGACTGAGATTCTATCATCCTAAGAAGTGGAATCTAGAGTCGGGGCTTTTGATTTTTAAAAAATAAATATCATTTTTAGAATTTGTTGGAATTTCACAATACACCTTGAGGCATCTGTAGACACACTGCCACAAAATCAAGGTCAGCAGTCACTGTTTTTGCTCCCACCTCTGTTTTTTCCTGGGAAGAGCCACAGTGAGTGAGTGAGTTCATCACCTAGTCAGTGGCCAGACTTTGAAGCCATCAGCCTGTCCTTGTAGAATAAACATTCCCAGGAAGCAGCCTTTCCCCGGAGGTCCTGCTCTGGCAGGGAGCTGGCTAGAGAGAGATTATGAAATGTGGAAACTGATGAGGGAACCTGAAATCTCAGTCTCTCCCATGTGCTCTTTCAGTGGGCTTCAACTGATGGATGGCAGTCCAGCCACAGACTGA